ATTTAAACTATCACAATTTGCTGCCAATGCAGTAATATAACACTTCAGTTATTGCACAGAAATTATATAGTCATATACTTCCATTTGCATCACCTAGCTTTGTGCTGCTATTGTTGTCTAATTTACCTCTACATTTGTTATAAGCCGAACCATACATTGTTATTATTTTTGATTTAAGCAATTATTTCTTAAACAAATTTAAAACAAGTTTTATATTTATTTAAACTTACTATTTTTCCATGTTTACATTGCATGCCTTTTTATAGATCTAAACATCAATTTTTTATTATTTTTCTTTTTGCCATTAGCTTTTATGTGTCACATAAATTCTTTGCCTTCATTTTCCCTGAATATTGAAATCTGGATGGACAGTGTTTTGGCTTTTCTTGTTTTCTGGTATTTTAATGTTGTTCCTCCAATATCTGCTTGTTTATATTAATTCAAGGGAAAAATCTGTGTCATTCTTATCTTTTTTCATCTGTATGTAGTATGTCTTTTTACTCTGGCTGCTAGAAGATTTTTTTCCCCTACAATTGTTAGGAATATGATGGTGATATGTCTTAGAATAGTTTTCTTTGTGCTTGTTCTCAACTTTGCTGAGCTCTTCTATCTCTAGATTAGAGTTTTCATTAGATTTGGAAAAGTGTCACTGTTTCTTCGAATATTATCTTCAGTGCCTCTATTTAACATGCCCAACCTTTCTTATCCTTCTTGACCTTAAAGTTGTTATAGCAACTATTTTAATGTCCTTATTACTGATTCTGCTATCCGTGCCATTTTGGTGTTTGTTTGCTTGTTTTTCTATTTTCCTGTTGATTGATTTTTTTATCTTCTCATTATAGATGGGTCACATTTTCCTGTTTCTTTGTGTGCCTGCTGATTTTTTTAAATTGAATTTTTGACATTGTAAATTTTATTTCCTTAGGTACTAGATATTTTTATACTGACATTTTACATTCATATAAACATTAAATTCTATTCAATAGCATGATTAAATTACTTCAAATATTTTTATCTTTTTTAACCTTAGGTTTAAGTTTATGTATCAGTCACCTTTCCATTGCTAGGACAAAATACTTGACATGCAAAAGTTAAAGGAGAAAAAGGTTATCTTGGCTCACAGTTTCAGAGGATTCAGTCCATGGGAGGAAGAAATATCTCAAGGAAGAAACATCATGGCAGAAGGGCATGGCAAAAGAGTGCTACTCCACCCATTACAGCTAGGAAGCAGAGAGTAGGGAAGAGCCAAAGAGAGACAGGAAGGCATGGGGAAATAAGAATACATTCACAGGTTCTGCCCCAGGTGACCCACCTCCTCCAACCATGCCCTACCTCCTGACAGCACATTCAGTTGTGAACTAGTTAGTTCATGATCCATTCACCTTCTAAAAGTTCTGCTTCTGATCACATGAGTTTAGGGGACATATTATACCCAAACCATTATAGCTTTGTTAGATATGATTTGTGCATAATTAATAGGGTTAATTCTTCTGTTCTAGAACTACTATACACTACTAGCCTATGAGTACGCTCCTTACTTTATGAGTTATAATTTTTCTACCCTGATTTGTAAGAACACAAACACTTCTTGATCCAATGTGGCTGGTTTTCCTTCTAATCTCTCTGTCTCTCTGTCTCTCCTGTCTCTCTGTCTCTGTCTCTGTCTCTCTGTCTCTGTCTCTCTCTCTGTCTCTGTCTCTGTCTCTGTCTCTGTGTGTGTGTGTGTCTTTTTCTCTTGCCTTCATTGTTGGGTAGTTTCCTTTTCTATGGCCACTGGTCAGCATTCAGCAGATGATTCAAGGTGAATCCTTTAGGGGCTGTGGCATACTCTCTGTGCAGCTCTCCTATGGTTAGTCCTCTGCCCTGCACACTCTGGTCTGGCCTCCCTGGATCCCCAGTGACATCTCAGCTCAGAAATCTTACTGGGCTGCACCTCGGTTTCTTTTCCCTGTGGAGCTTCCCAGAAGCTGTCTGCAAGCAGTACACCTGGATTATTGTAGGGCTCACCTTGTTGTTTCTCCCCACAGTGACCCCTGTCCTGGATTGCCCATTGCCCAGTATCTAAAAATCATTAAGCAGTTTGGAATTTTAGTTGTTGCACACATGAGAGAATCTGGTCTTTGCCACTGAGTCTTTCCTGAAAGGGAACATTTTACCACCAGTTTTAATTTTGGGAGCTGGAATAAGAAGTGAGATGAACATAGTCCAACCAAACATCAAAATTTTCATTTATTGTAGCATAAAACAAGATGAGAGGGAAAGTATCACTTTGACTGTAATGAAATAAACACATTTTTAAAAATGTAGTTCATCTTTCTGGATATTGTTTCTAGAGAAAGATAAAAATATCTGACCAACTTTATTATAACATAGAGCCCAAAGTACATTACATCGAATTCTTACTGTCAGTTTTGTAAGAACCACTAGCAAAAGGGAGCTAAAATGAATGATTTTCAGTAATACAATTAGCATTCCTGAAACAGGATGATATTGGGTCATGTAGTACTATCAGTAATGATGAACTTTAACTGGATGCCTTCACTCATGTTATTTGTTAATCACAAACCCTAAGGTCCTTTTCAAATGTATTTTAGAATCATGTGATCACATGTTGTATTCATGAAGACAAAATATAAATTCTTCTAGATCCAACATCACTATTCCCAGTATCTTACCTTATACAGTAAGCCCCCAACTTACTAAGGGGTTCCGTTCCAGGAGAACTTTCAGAAATTAGGTTCTTCTGCAGATCCAACAAAGTGAGTCTTATATACCTTTGATACAAATATACAGTGAAAAGCATAAAAAACAAACCCAAACACACACACAAATACTGTCCTCTACTGCACTGTACAGTAAGCACACAGCAGCACAACTGCGACAATGTCTGCAGTCTTGTGAGTTACTTCTGTGATTTGTTTGCATCTACTGATGTTCCTAGTGCAACAACTTTTGTAATCCCACAGTTTTTAAAATGAGAATTGGGAGTGGGGTTAGAGTTTTGGTTCAGTGACATCTTCCGGCACACACTGCACTCCATGTATAAACACAATCCTTATGTTAGAGACTGTTAGCTGGCTGCAGTGTGACCACTGTTTCTGAAGACTGAGGAATCAACATCAGGGGAAGTCAAATTAGCAAATTGTATATATCCAAGAAATATTCAAACAGCAGTCAAATTAGCCTTGGAAACAAAAACAAAGGCTAAAATGTAGTTTATCACATCCGTAAATTTATTTTTAAGGAAATGTTTGATGCATTCAATAAGACTAGCAGTTTATGACTATGTCCATGAATTCTGAGGTCATTTATTCCCTCTTTCCATTATATCAGAGTCTGTGATTTGTTTCATTCATCAGTGGCCTCCAATTTGCCTAGGATAGAAATCTCAGTCTTTTTGACTTTTTTCCTTTTTGGAGTAGCAAATTCATCCTCTTAAATCATCACAGGTTTTACCCATGGGTAGAATCCCTCTCCATGCCCTGAAATTGGTCCTGGTCGGTCTTACCTGGGCTCTTTTTTTTTTTTTTTTCTATGTCCTTCCTCACTCCAAGGACTTTCTGAGTCACAGTCTGCTCATGGCCCCTCTTTGGAACTCATATTGAATTTGGAATAAACTCCAGGTTGTTAACAGGGCATCCAGGGCTCCTGTGAGCTGATGAGGAGTGGCCCAGCCTCTGAACTGTTTTGTCATAACTCTCTCCCAAGCACTTTACCCAGTGGCATCATATGACACCCACCCTCTTCTCCCTGCACATGGCCACCTCGTGTTTTCTCTTTGCTATCTCGAATGCCTTGTAAGACCCACTCTTGGGTTCCCTATCACAAGTATCTCAGGCTGGGATTTATTCTCCTACAGTCTAGGAAACTAGATGGCTGATCTCAAAGTATGAGCAGGACTGGTCCCTCCTGAAGGCTAAGGGGGAATCTTTTCCGCCCTTCTTTCCCAGGCACTGGTGAACCTTGGGCATTTTGTGGCTTATAGATCTCTGCCTTCATTTCCATGTGGTATTCTTCTTTTATATGTGCATATGTTTGTGCCTCTATCCAAACTCCCCTTTTTATAAGGACCCTATCTGTGTTAGATTAGGTCCCTACCCTTTTCCAGTATAACCCCATGTAAATTAACTTCTTCAACATTGCCATTTCCCAGGGAAGTCTAATCCTAGGCATCTCATCCTAGGTTAGGATACAATGTAGGTAGTGCATAGACACCTTTCAGTCCGTAACAACCCTTTCTCTCTGTGGGAGTAGAAGATTGAATAGAACAGTGGATGAAATGATGTGATGCCTAGGTCAAAGGTCCAAGTACCAAAATGAAGAAACAATGACATGCAACCAAGAAACCAAAGCAGAGAGAAGGGAGCTGCTAATGGAGCTACTCAGGTGGAAGCTGCCCCAATCCCTGAGGAAGGGCCACACTCATGGAACTGCAGAGAGACAAGTCACTCCTGCCGGACCTGCTGCTTATAGTGTATGGACACCCACACTCTGCAGAGGCCTGGCTCCTTCTTCTTGTGTTTCTGCTTCCAAAGCACAGCCAGGCAGCCCCAAGTGTTGTCTTTGTCACTGAAGCATTCCAAACTGCTGCCCAGTGACAATTTCTGAATGACTACAGCCAAATGCAGTAGCTTTTCCATTCAGAGACTCAGTTCTAAAGATTCCATGGAGGAAATTCTATTTTAATAAAATGAAAACTTAATTAAATAAATATGCATTTAATGTCCTATGCTTGGTAGTTTTCAAGACACAGTAAGTCATTTACGCTAAAGTGTATATTTCAGGCACTCATGGGGAGCTTATTAACCTCCAAATGCCACCATCTCAGCAGGGTTTGGCCTGAGAAAGACACTTTGCTGATAACAGTTAGCTCCACCTCAGGGATCCACATCCTTGCATGGCATTAAAGAGATTCAGTGAGGCCTGTGTTCTCTTGCAGTAATGAAAAGTGGGGGAAACAGTAGACAATAATAACGAGGCTTCTGTCTTTCTCCATACAGCTGATACCTATGTGGTTGCCAATGATTCAGTCAAATATCAAGGTAAGTTCCCCACCCCCCCCGGGCTTGTCGGAAGCTTTGTTTCCTCCAGAGAGCATCAGGAAGTGCATGGAGATTATTGATGCTTCATTTACTGTGGAGAATGAGGAATTCAACCTGGCCTTAGTCTAAGAGGGTTGATAATGCAAGAGACCCTGTAAGCCAAATAAAAGATCTATAAGAAGGTGACAGACAAACTCTGTCCCATGGTCACTATCAGTGGGAATGCAAATAGGCATACCCAGCTCTGAGCAAGGGTTAGACTACAGATTAAAATCCAGATTCTAAAGCTGTCTTGCTTCTGGAAGAATCTCAAGGAATCTGGTCCCAAGCATACCCAGTGATGTTTTCTTACTGCTAAGATTAAATTTCTGTGATGCAAATTCTATTAAAAAAGGATACATATTGAATGAGTGACAGACTGAGCTAGAGGGTACTTACTCCTTCATTTCACATGCAAGAAGATTCAGAATCCAAAGAAGGAGTAATTCGGGCAGAGTCCCAGCACCCGAGGAAGGCCCTGACCAAAGGTATTTCCCAATCCCAGGCCTCATACTTGATGACAAGCAAAGATAATTATTGGGGCTGCATCCAAGTCTTTCCACCTGAGGCACTGGGAGTGGAGGGGAAGGGAGAGACCAGAAACTTGCTGGATTCCTTCTGTGAGTTGGGGAGTGATGCTGGTGGAAGCCAAAAGGTGTGGACTGAAGACAGCCAGACACTGAGACAGCAAGGCAGCTGTCAGCAGTGCAGGCTGCTTTGGTGTCCTGCTTAGGGCTCTAGGCCTGTGTGTGGCCACTGGTGGGGCAGGGGTCCCGACCTTGCTCGTCTCAGTGCTGTTTTCACTGTGAAAGTGAGTCCCTCCTATTCCCACCTGGAAGCATTCCAAATTGCTTACTCCACCGTCTCTCCACTTTATGGCAATCCACTGCAGTTTTACATGGCAGAGTGCAAAGAAGAGCAAACAGAGCTTGATAACAAACTAAGACAAAGAAGAAAAGCTTTCAGCCTATCTTCTTCATGTCACTTGCTATGAGGACAGGGATATTGTAATAATATTGAACGTAGGAAGCACCCACTATAGCCACGTTCTTTTCTAAACACACTATTAACTCCAGCTGCATTTATAGAACCCCCTGAAGAAGTAGGAGCATCTCTGTTTTACTCAGAGGAAACCCTAACACAGGCTGGTTGACCTCATTCACAGATGGCCTGCTGAAAAGCTAGAATTTGAACCTGGGGCCTGACAGCACAGCCAGGACACTTCTCCTGTATGCCAGATTCAAATGCTGAGTTACTGCTGGGTGCAAGTGTATTTGTCAGCCAAGAACCTGACGTGTTGGCTACACACATAGCAATGAGTCAGTACAGACGAGCCTGTCGTTATTCAGATGGGGTTGGGCCGGGGTGACCCCTAGAAACAAGACAGGCCCATGTTCCCTGGCCTGGGTGCTGCCAGACTTGAGCGTTTGCCCTGCGCAGACCGCACAGCCCTTGAACCAGGCCAAGTGCTGCTTTCAGATACAAGCCCCACTGACATTCCCTAGGCTGCCCTGAGCTCTGCGAGGAAGTTTCTAAACCAAACCATCTACCCTTTCTTAACAGCACTTATCGGCAGGCCTCCAGCTTCGCCTCCAGGCCATTCAGAACAACGTGAACCACCACAGCCTAAGGACGCTGCCCGGCTCGGGCCAGAGCAGTGCTGGCCTGGCAGCCCTTCGCAAGTGGCTGCAGTGCACCCAGTTCAAAATGGCCCAGGTGGAGATCCAGTCCTCAGAAGCAGCCTCGCAATTTTATCCTCTATGAGTGGACTCCTCGGCTCTCAGTGTCAACACTCTGGTTTAGCAATAATGGGTTTAAAAACAAAACAATTTGATCCAAGCAAGTTGGGGAACATATTGGTACTGTACATTCTCTTTCTAGTTTAGTAAAAGATGTGCAAAGGCCGGAGAGGGCCACAAATGAAGCTTTCTTGCTACACATATTTCTGATGACTCCTTGGGCTATCTGATTAAGTGTTTCCTTACATTATTTTTTAAAAACCAAATCATTTTTCTTTAACTAACTTCTATTTTTTTTAAGAAAAAAAAAATAGACTGGTGGGTACTCACAGAAAAGTTGTATAAGTCCCCCTGTTGCTATTTTTGATGATAGAGAATAAATAGGGTTTTTGAAACCTTTGTAGTGTTTTTTCTTAAAATTCACTCTTGGCAATGCAATAAAAAAACCTGTCACATAAGCCAGTGACACCTGACTGAAGCTTTTTGTCATTCTCCTGCGAAAAGTGGCAGCTTGCAAGGAACATTACAAAGTGCACTTAGAAATTAGGTGGTTAAACTGTGCCAACTGTTTTGTTTTATATCATTTTCCAAAACTGTCCAGTGAGTTTTATTACTTTCAGACTAGTTTTTCAACTTATTAGTTCCAGGCTGTACTTTGTTTTAAGCTTTATGATAACCCCTTTAGTTTTGTGAATAATAAATTTTCATCTTTTGTTAATACTTGTACACAATTCAGTTTACAACTGTAGACTGCATACTGGACCAGAAGAGTCCCTGCACTGGCACAGAACTGCACATGGAGTTGTGTTTCATAAAGTGGAATTTTACTAGTGTCAGAGCACCAAGATTTACCCACACTGATACCTAGCATTTGACCGTGCTTTCCAAATGACACCTTCTTTGTCCCTGTAATGCACTGACTACAAGGAGGCTTACTACACATTTAAGCTGTATACTGACATGCTATTAAATGCATTTTTTATTATCTTTGTGAGCCTAGGGTTTTTTAAAATCAGCTTATAGAGGTAGAATTTAGTTCTTGACAACCATTTCTTCTGAAATTTTATAACTTCTAACTCCCTTTAAACTGCAGTTAGTAAGAGGAAAAGGCTTTCTTTGGGGTCCTTTGGTGAGAAATACAAGATTTATTGAAGTCCATTTTCTCAAAAGGACTTTGAGGTCATGAGATGATTTTTTTTCCATGTTGCTTATTAAGAGCTGTCCCTTTTCTTCCAGGAGGTTTAATAGATTCATGTTTCTCAGGGGAAAGAAGTCCTAGATGTTTAAGTGTCCCACATGAATTCTATCTAGTAAGACAGGGTGGCAGATCTTCACTCTTCTGAAAATGTCAGGCCCTGCAGTAGAGTGCTGGACGAGCTTCCTTTGTGTTTTACCAGCGCGCTCTTCCGAAGGCGTCCTCCGGCCAGAGCTCTCCTCTGCCCCCGTCATGCTTGGCTGAGCTTCTGTGAACATTTTGTCTTGTGTTACACTAAGTGGTGTCTATGTTTACCTCACTAGAAAATAGTGATGGCTTTGAGGATTGCGTCCCTAGCATTTGGAACACAGTGTGTGTTTAATTAATATCTATTGGATTGAGTGGATTCAGTGAAGTAACAGATCTTTCTTGAGCTACGCAGTGAATCAGCAAGGACTGAATTGTGACACTGTCTTTTGTGCAAGATTCCTAGAAAAAGCATAGAACTAGACCCTGTCTGCTTTCACCGGCAGAGGTTTTGTTGACTTCTCCATCTGGGTTTAGCTATGGACTTGGCTCTTGACTACTCCTGTACTTGCACTGGCCCGGGAAGCCTGGGTCTTGGTGGCGTCATCATATTAGACAAGATCCAAATTTATTCCCAACTATTTCTCTAGCCCCATCTGCTTTGTCCAGTTCTTTCAACAGACTTTTGTCTCAACTTCTGTTTGTAATGGCATCTTCCTTGAGGGCTAGAGATCAACCCTTAACTCAAAACTCTTGTCTGAGTTCCTTTAATGCTTTCTGATGTCTGGACATATTTCCTCTACCCTAGTCTCCACCAGGATCCTTAGTCTCACGCAGGCACATCTGTCTTCTGGTCCTTGAGATGTGTAATACATTTGCCTGCCAACCAGACCCCAGTGCTCTCCCTGCTCCGTACTGCCATTTACTGATAGAGACCAGTGGGTGTCCCCCACCTTCACTTACTACAGATTCCCAAAGTCCTCATTTTCTGTTGTTACCCTATGTCAGCTCTCTAGCAGCTGGGCTCAGCCACTTAGAAAACAGAACCCAGGAAGAGAGGGGAATTAATGCAGTGAACAGGATTGGCTCGAACAGGTAGGAGAAATTGTCTTTCACCTAGGTCAAGGGCCAGCAAACTGTATTTCCACGAGACAAGTGCAGCCCACTTTCTGTAGTTTTATTGGGAGCAGCCACATCCACCATGTACATACTGTCTGTGGCTGCTTTTATGCTTCAGGGGAAGAGTGATTCAGGAATCCTGAAATATTTACCCTCAGCCAAGGTGAAGGCCACCTAAGGGCACTTAGCTAGAACCCTTGCACAGATAGACACACACATATACATACACACACACGTCAGTGGTCCAGGAACTTCATTACTAGTTTTTCCTCATCTGTAAAATGGGGACAACAGCACTTTCTACCTCATAGGGTTGTTGAAAGAATGCAAAAAAAAAAAAAAAGGTAATGAAAAATGCAAAAAATGGGGAGGAGGGGTTAGATTTAGGGCAGTACCTGGTAATGGTAATGGTATACACTCAGCTATGTTTTTATTCTTGTGTTAAAGCCTAGAGAGAAAGCCATTGTCCAAGGTCACATAGCTTGTAAGGGGCAGACACAGAACTAGCCTCTAGGCTCTCTGACCTCCAAGGCCTGTGCTCCAGACACCTCTCATGTTAACTGCTGTTACCTACACACAACTCCAGGTGACAGCTGTGACAACAAGATGAGGGCAGTGAGATACCAGGTGTCGCCAGAACTGATTATTGGTTTGGAGAAAGATCAAAGCATTGACTCAGTTTCACTTCCCTCATGGAATCTTGACCAGTTTCAGCATGTGAACAGAGCATTCTGAGATTTCCCAGAGTGGCACAAATCTACAAATACATAGGGTCCAGTCCCCTGGCTTCTCACAAAGGGCATGCCTCTTACTAGTTGGGTGACCTTGGACAAGTTATTAAACCTCTCTGGATGTCTGTTTTTCCTTATCTGTAAAATGGAGCTACCTATCCATCTCTCTGGGGATGATGGAAGGCTCAAGCAGGCAGAGGACTCTGTGGGATACCGGGATCCACGGACTTCTGGGAAGACTGGTGCTACCTTATGAAGGCCACACAAGGGGACAGCTCACAGCTGCAAGCTTATTTGGTTTTTCTTTCAATCAGTGCTTCAGAATTAAGACCTACAAGATTTATTGGAGCCAAAACATGGTCATTAGCCAAGAATCTCCAGTGTCCACTGTAGGCCATCTCTTTGCGAGTGTTCCATTCTGCCAGACACTAGGATGTCTCCAGCAAATCTCTTCTCTGGAGTTTCACTCAGTGAGGCCAAGTGGATGCAGCAACCTTATCTTCATTTCCAAGTGACAGCAGACCAAACAAGATTGAACTGGATCAGAGATGATGAGTTATCCACCAAAGCTGTCTCATGAGCTGGGATTTAGAACTAATTGGACACTACAGATCATTTATTATACCTCTTTAATCATGTTAATTTGCAAATGTGTATTTTGGATAAACTGGATATTTTGACAATAATGGCAGGTTAACAAGAACGGAGTGGTTGAACTCAGTGGAGTGGTACCTAACCATGATTTTATGAAAGTGGGACCCTGTGGGAGATGGCCAAGGTGTTATTAGTAAGAAGCTGGCCAGTTCTTTCAGTGCTAGCAGCCAGAGGTGAACTTCTTAAGGGAATTCAAGAGAAAACACAACAGCCACTGTACACTGAGCATCTGCTAGCCCCAAGTTCTTTACGTATATTACCCTCACTTAATATTGACTTCTCCCAGCGTGAGACAGGTGTTTTTATCTTCCCAGTTTTGCAGGTGGGTCAGCAGAGGCCCAGAGGTTAAGTGCCTTATCCGAGGCCATGCAGCTGGCAGTAGTGGCACTGGACTGCAAGGCAGAGCCTCGCTCAATACCTGTTCTTCTCTCTTTCCTCTTGTTGGTTCCTGGCTCTTTTGGCTAAAGTGTGCCGGGAGCATGGGGTAGAGAAATCTGAGGGCTTTTCCGAGGCAGCTTGATTGTATTGGCAACTCTGTTTATCAATTATCTGTAATCAACTTTGATTAAACCAGAGTTACTTCACCTGCAAAGGTGTTCTCCCCTCTACTTTGGGAATGAATTCATTTATGTGAAAAATTACAAATCGCAAATCCAGTTCAGTTTTCGCCTTCATAGTTTTATGTGAAAGAATAAACCTGTGTGAATTGAAGATTGTGATGGTGAACTCTATTGGATTTGGGATCTATTAAGAGTTCACTCAGCCCTGAAGAGGTTTGCTTTCATGTATGAACCTAGCTCCTGTTGATGAGGGTTTATTACATGTCATGTATTTTCACTGTGCAGTGTCGTTCAGTATTCACAGTAGTGTAAGGTAGCATTCTGATTATCAACCCCATATTACAGATGAGGAAACTGAGGCACAGAGAGATGAAATATTTGCCAGAGTCATTCAGGCAGAGATAGAGTAAAGTTTGAATGTGGATAAGTCTTCTCCAAACTCTAAATTCTACTTATTATATAAACCGGTAATTAAATGCTTGATAAAGTCTTTTGCTACTCATCTGACCAACAAGGTAACTTAGAATCATTTAGAACAGTTCACTGGCAACCTCCTGCCTGACTGGCCACATTATACTTTGTTTGGTGAGCTTGAATTTATAATTTCTTCTTTGAATGTGATCCCTGCTATGGAACACATGGCCCCCGTTTGATTTAGTTCTGGCCAGTGGCCTGGCCTCTGAAGCAGAAGAGCCAGTCTCAGAGCCTCCCGACAGAAACCCTGTGGCATCCGGGCCAGTTCACAGAGCTGGAACCTTCCCTCCTGCTGCTGCTGGCCCTGTAGACTGTGAGTTTGCTACATGGTATAAACTGACCTCCCACTTCTAAGCGGTAGGATTTATCCAGGGTTGCTTGGGGCCTTCTTAGCCCCACATGGCCCCTTTTTCCCTCGAATCACTCCTATGCCCCACCTATCACTGGCCCTGCCTCTGCACGTGGCTACTGGGTTATCATCATCATCATCATCATCATCATCATCATCATCATCATCATCATCCTGGGTTGGCTGGAAAGCTGAGATTAGGTGAGTCTCCAGAGTAAGCCCCTGTAACTTCAGCCAGTAGGCCAGTCAGGATACTGGCATGTGCCAGGATTCAGTTCTTTTAGAAAGAAAAAGAAAGAGTTAACTTTTTAATTATGCAGCCCAGACAGGCCCTTGCAGGGTAGTGGAGAAGGGAGCCTCCCGGGGCTGCCTGGCAGACACCCTGATTTCTGCTTCCTGAAGTGGCCACTTAAAAAAGAAAGGAATCAGCAAGTAATCAAGCATGCAGGACAGAAGCACTCTTCAGGTGAGGACACTGCCCGGGGTGGGGGTGGAGGAGAATGTGGAGGGGCTGGGGAGACAGCAGGGTGTGGGCAGCTTCCGCTTCAGAGAGGGCACTTGAGCAGGTTTTGTAGCCAAGCCCATAGAGATGGGGTTCTGGGCTTTCGGGCAGCCTTGCTCTCTGATTAATATCACTGAGTGTCAGTTTCATTGACCGCAAATGCAGGTGACATTTCCTTGTCCTGTAATGAGCACAGGAAGGAATGCCCGACGACGGGTTTAGCACCAGTAAGAACAGGGTGAGCCTTCTTGGAACCCCGCTTGCCCTGCGTGTCTGGCTTTGCTGTGAGTGCCTGGCATCCCGGCAGCCATTTAGCTCAAACTGTGATGCCATGTGACAGCTGGTGTTTTGCTGAAATGAAATCACAGCTTGCCATGGGTTTTGGCTCCTGTTCTTTTCAGGGTGTGTTCTCATGCTGCTGAGCTTCGTGTGGTGACTCAAGGCTCCCCCACGCTTCTGAGACTGAATGAGCAACTGGGAAATCCTCCTCCATGTGGCACGTTCTGTCAGTGGTTGGGCTTCACATGGTGTGAGCACATCATTGTGTCTGTGATGGGGATGATATTCTGAAAATAATAAACAGTATGTTTTATTCTTCTCCAGGAAATCACATGCCCTGGCAGGAAGAGGCTGGGAAAATTCTGGTCAAGCAGGATGAGGGAGCAGAGAGCCCACTTACTCCAGAGCCTGTGGATTGTTGGCAAAAGAAAAGGGAGAGTGTAGGGTAAGCATGGGAGGCCAGGCGGGCATGACGGAACCTTCCCTGTTCTGGACATTTGCAAGCGCCCAGGTAAAAATGTACCTAGGAGGCCGGAAGCACTGGTGTCACGTAACCCTCCAGAAGTGTCCGCAGCCTTGTGCAGAGCCTGGAAGTCCCCAAGGGTCTGGTGCTGAGAGAACAGGAAGTTGGGCAGAGGCCGCAGTTAGAGGACTAGACGGCCACAGCTGGACATTTGCAGTGGGAGTAGTGTGGGTTAGCCAGTGACACTAAACGGCCGAAAAGGCAGTCACCTATCCAAGAAACAGCCCATGCCAGCCCTTCTGCAGCAGAGACCTGAGAGGACCCCAAAGACTCCGTGTGGCTGAGACCAGCTCCCCCATGCCAGAAACTACAGATATACATTGGGTATTTGTAGGTGCTTCCTAGAAGGCAGCAGGTCCAGGGAAGACACGGGAAGACAGAGCATGTGTCCACAGGAAATGCAATCACCCAAAGGACGCCCGAGAAGTGAGAAGAGGAAAAACACCATCAACCTGAAAGTTCAGTTTTTCTGCCCACACCCTCCCACCCAGTTGCACACACCCAAGGAGGTGGGCACTGCCAATTGTTATATGAAATAAAATATTGTATTCCTTATTGTATTAAATTTGTAACCCACTATTGGTTAATTAATTCAATAAATACTTGTGCCAGGTACATTTGCAGATTTGGTAACGACTGCCACTAAAAGCTGTAGAAAGTCTGTTCCCATGCACCTTGTATCCTAACAGGAAGAGAAAGGCAGCAAGCCTTTCTCAGACCAACAGTTACTCTTAGCATGAGATGGGCTGTGTTGAGCACAAACCAACGTGATAGAATAGGGACGATGAGGGATCGTCAGGGAAGGCTGCAAGGTGGTGACGGGAAAGGACAGCTGGGACTGGGGATCCCTGAGGGGAAGGGCCTTGCCGAAAGCCACATCCGAAGTGATCTGTCAGATCTGAGAATCCCTAATGTACTTCCTGGGGTCCAAGAAGGCTGCATCTCCTGCCTGCCTCCCAAGGCCTGGGAGGACAGCAGAGCAGAGATCTGGCTGGAGTGGGCCTTTGATTTCTGAGGGCCCGTCTCAGTTGGAAGACCTGGGAACTTGTAGCCACACAGAGCTAGGACTGAGCCACAGCTCTGCACTTGGACTTCTGCGGCCCTTGGTAATCTCTGAACATCTTCAGACCTTGGTCTACTCTCTGTAAAATAGGGAGTATTCTCCTGCCTCCTAGGCTCTGGAGAGGGGTCAAACAGTAAGGAAGGCTGGCCCTTGGGGATCCCTTCATCTCCACATTGCTGCCACCCTCTCTGGGCACAGTACAAATCCACTGCCATCCCAACCTGCTCCTGTTTCCCTCTGTATCCCCAGGATACTACCTGGGTCCCCAGTGGATACCTAGGGTAGAGGTGAACAAAGGGTCTCAGAAGACAATGTGACAGAAAATACCACAGGAGAGAGCAAAAAGGATGCACTGCTCACGCAGGCTCTCAGTGCTGCCTGGGGAAGAGAGTGTCAGCTCTGTGCACAGGTGGGTGTATGTGCTGTGTGCTCAGGGAAGAGGCAGCCCCTATAGGGATCTGATGGCAGATTAGAGGAGGCCATTCAGAGACTAGAGGGAGAGACAGGCCAGGGAGAGGAGAGCAGAAAGGAGGAGGCAAGCTGGCCGGGTAGTAGAGGCTGGAGTAGCCAAAGATAGGCCCTTTGCAGCCAGTGGGCGGGCTGGAAGGAGCTCTGGTGCACTAGAGCACCTGAGTGGAGCTGGGGAAAGCCTGGGGCAGGTGGAAGGAGGGGCCAGAAGTGGAGCAGGTGATGGGGAGTGTGAGAGGAGGTGAGTTTGGAGAGCACATTGGAGGCCGAAGCAGGACCCACCAGACTAGAGAAGCCAGGATCTCTGAGGTGTCTACATGGGACTCTGCTGGGGGAAGCTGAGCCCTGTGCTCAGTATGACACCTGGCAAGCAGCGGATTTTCATATTAAAGAATTGACTGATTGAACAAACAAATGATAGGGACTTGAATCCAGGAGCCCAGCGAGACCTGTTCAGGAGAGCTCTGGGAGAGAGGATGGGGCAGAGAGGACAGAGAAAGGCCTGGTGATCTGGGACCTACCAGGTAGAGGTGCCTGGAGCCTGGGGTGCTGTGTGTGTGTGCAGATGAAGACAGGGCACATGCTGCATGTACTGGCATTTCTCGGATTCTGAAAGCTGAGTTTGGCAGAGATGGGAGCAGGAGGGCACTCAGTGCTGTGGGACTGGTGTGGGAATGACAGAGACCGACACAAGTGACCCAGTGGTGTGGGTCACCAGCTGGGTGGGGTGGGTGTGCAAAGGTGAGCTTCCCTCAGGTGGGACCCAGGGCCTGGGTTCTCACAGGGCAGGACAGGCAGGACCATCTTCGGTTCCGCAGTGCAGCCCAGTAGGGCATGGGATGTGGCATCTGGAGGAAAGGAGGAAGAGCAATCCTGCCACTGCCACCCATGAGTGCCAGGCAGGACTCCACCAGGGCTCTGGGTGCCAGGCCCTGTGTGTCCACCGACTCTCACTCCTTGCTGGTGGCCGCAGGAGCCCAGAGCAGGACATGGGGCTGTCAGGCAGTGGAGCAGTGTGCTGTGTTGGTTGCTTGAAACTGGAACAAGTGACCAAAGGCCTCAGAGAGAGGTGGAGAGAAAAAAGTGTCACCTAAGAGAGGTCTGGTGCACAGCTGTAGAAGTGTGGGGATCCCCTCTCCCCTCCCAGGTGAGTGGCTCAGAGAGCCCCAGCTGGCAAGAGGGACAATGCTGAGATGCCTCAGGGCCCTGGGCAGGAACATCCACGTATCCCCTCACTGCCCTGATCCCCTCGGAGGAGAGCCTGCCCTGAGCTGGTCCTCTCCACATCTGCCGAGCTGTGAGACTTGGGACAGGTTAGGGAGACACTGGGTCCCAGACACTGGACCCTCACAATCCACTGTCACAGAGGCCATTCTGAAGCTACAGGGAATTTGGGTAGGGTTGGTGAAGTCAGGAGTACCCACTGTGGGGAGGTAGTGATTTGGGGTCCCTTCAGTTATGACCAGAAGCCATGCTGATCCCAGGCCCATTCCTGCTTGCTGGTCACTGCCTGACTTTGGTCGCTGCCTCCATCTCTCTGATCTGTCCCTTTGCCCTGAATATGGGGGTCGCGATGCTGCGGAGCATCTGTTCTCCCTGCCTTCCTCCATCACTCCCAGTTCGTTCAAGAGGATCTGCTTCCCCTAAAAGTGCTGGGAGGCACAGCTGCTTTAGCAAGGCTCACCTGGTGGGTGAGGCTGGAAGTTAATGGGCGGCCGCAGTGACTCCTGCTCTGCTCCCTCCAGGGGCCAGGTGAGCCCTGTGTTCTTGGTGTCTTTGGCCTGAGTGAGCAGGGGAGGCCATGGTGCTGGTAAGGGAACTTTCAGAGACGGACATCAGAGAGACTGACACAGGGCACCTCTATTCGCTCCAGCAGGGTGGCTGGCTGACTCCTGCTCCCTAGGATTCCCATAAGTATTTGTCAGATACTCATGGGACTGGCTTCTTCCAACTGCCTGGGACTTCCTTTCATAGCGCTGAACATCTTGAGTTCAGGATATCCTCTCAGGCCCAGGCACACTAGGAAAGATTGGTCAGCCTAGTATCAGTTTTGCCCAGGACTTAGGTGGTAGTGGAGAGGGAAGATGAGGGTCAGCATTGGTCTTGGAAATCCCCATAAATACCAACCTTGGGTGACAGAGATAATGCATGTAAGGTCCCAAGCCACGCCCAGGCAGCACCTTCATGGAAAACCCTCTGCCACCCCTGCCTCCCCTCCCCTTGCCACCCTGCACCTACAAGTGACAATGGACAGCCATCTTTTAAGTATATTTTTATTGAAAATAAAAAAAAGTCATGGTGCTTCTTTCCTCATAAGGAGCATACAGCGCATCCCCCAAGGCTGCCAGTCCTGCCTCCTGTACAGAAGTCTCAGCATGAAATCGACATTAATGGCTCATTGGTGGACAAGATGGCATAGACAGGTGTACTTGTCCATTGAGACAGAACGCCTAGGAACAAGAGAGATCGTCCCCGTACACACGGCACATCGCTAAGAAGGCAGAGGTCAGGGTATTTACACTCATGCATTACATGTCTCACGCTACCTCGGCTGTTGAGATCATACAGATGCAGAGAGTACAGTAATTATATACAGATATTTCTTTAAATATATAACTATATAATATATATGTTTATATTTTTATACCTATTAGTCTTTCTTCCAAAACTTTCCCAGAAGCCTGTTAGGAACACTGGGTTCGCTGGGAGCCCCCAAATGCCACTGCGTTCCCAAGTGGAGCTTGACTACTGGACAGCTGAGAAAATGCACGGCAAGAATGTGCACCTCCTTCTCGACCTCGGACCAATCTGAGGAGGGGTCCGGGCTGCGGCGCTGCAGATTTATTTTGAACGAAAGCTCCAAGCTCACATACTAGGTTGCAGCAGTTGGATGGGCACATCAGTCTCCTAAGCTGAAAGCCAGGGGTCCTCCCACACTGCTCCATGAGATGTGTCCTCTGGGCACCAGTCCTGAATGTGGGGGCTTTGTTCTCAAGTGAATATTCTTTTAAAGAATGCAACTCTTCCCTTGGTTTTCCATAACTGGCTGAGAATGGACCTTACAAGCTGGTTGGAGGGGAATTTGCATGCAAACTAGAGCCCTGGGTGTCTTGAGGGCCAGCATGAAGGGCAGCTCAGTCAGGTTCCTGCAGCCTAACTGCAAAATCTGGGCTTCCTACGTTTAAGCCATTGTCAAGGATAGTAGAGCCCTGTGGGTGTATGGATACTCGGCCATCCTCAGCTTTTCAGGGTGGCCCTAGCTCACCAGGGCACCTTAGCCAGTAGCTTCCAGCCTAAAGCACCCTCTGGCTACTCTGGACCAGCCCAGGGCATCAGCTTTTTCTGCCATGAAGCCTGGAGTGCGGTGTGTTTAGGGCTGGGCTACTGCTCACCTGCCCAAGTCTATGCTCAAGGAGGGGGCTCTGCAGGAGTGGAGGCTGTGGGCAGAGGGGCACAGTGCCCTGGCCTGGGGTCTGCCTGGTTTCTCTCTCCTGCCCTGTCCCTGAACCCCCTCCTCTGGCCTGTTTGTCACCTGACCCTGCATCCCAAGCGTACTGCCAAGTGTTCACAGGGTGGAGCTGTTGGCAGCCCCATAATGACGCCAAGGTGTGTCAGGAAAGTGAAGTTCAAAGGAGTCCTCAAGCCAGAGGAGGAGAAAGGAAAGGAAAAAAAGCCTCAGGATGGGGGTTTCCTGAGCTGGCCTCAGGGTGCATACACTGGCCAGGGGAAGGACAGTGACAGCTCTGGGCACAGGGCACTGGGACAGTGGACATTTTTGTCACATGGGGGAGTGGCTTTCATATCTGTCCATCTTACCTGGATTTGAGGGTCTCATCACAACCCAAAAACCTGCCAGAGAAGTACAATAGCGGCATAGAAGGCAAACGAGGTCCAGTCAGCTTAATCCCGACAAGGTCACAAGCCTAACTGTTAAATAGGCCTGGTTCCATTTCAGCAGGTCTGTGAGGGTGGTGAGGGGAACCATGGGGTGAAGAGTGTCCTCCTAACTTGCCAAAGGAGGTAAGCTCACAAGGTCACTGCCTCCATGGGCTGGGCAATGTGTCCCAGTGGGAGGTGCCATCTGGGAAACCGGTGGGCAGGGAAGAGGTGACAAGCCTGGAGGTTCCTGCCCTTCTCCTCCACCTTCCATACTCAGGAGGGTTCGGCACATCCAGAGCACTGGCCTGCAGGACATGGGAATAAAACCCCTCCTTCTAGGGGCTCTCAGAAGAATCTGGGCACCACTGTTAGGTCTCGGGGCATGGTCCGGAAGATGTGGCTCCAGGCCAGAGTGCCCCGATGGGTTGGCACAAGTGACGACCTCCTCCCCACAAGGCTGCATCCAGGTGTGCTGCTGTCTGAGAACAGGGCGGGGAATCCTTGCCCTTTCCAGACTCCCTTAATCTAGGCTTCTGTGATGCTCTACCCCCATGTAAATGAGCCCCCATGTCCGCTCACAGGGGTTCTCAGGCTGGCCTCATGGCCCAGGTACAGGAGGGCAGACACTGGCCCTGAAGACTGGGGACAGTTACAGATGGGGTGAGGAACAGATGTGTGGGAAGCACCTTTGAAAGGGGACGTCTGTCTCATGGCTGTGTCGATGGCTTCTGTTGGGACATCCACAGAGAAGCAAGCAGGCTGCTTCCTGGAAGAGGGAGGTTTTCAGGCTGGGGAGTGGCCCTGTTCACCTTCTGTTAGCTAAAAGGGCACCTCCTGCCCCCACAAGCAGACAGCCCTTCTGCCTTCATCAGAGCATGTGCTTTAGACAGCAGTTGGTGAACAGTCTGTGGACCAAACACAAGACAAGAGGAGGATGGAGAGCCCTGGGCGGTGATGCTGCCCCAGGCACTGCATGCAGGGGGACCTGGGCTCAGCCCAGCATCTGCACTGCCCCTGCCCATAGGCCAGCTGGGGCTGGCCTGGGAAAAGGATGGTTTCTCCTTCAGGAGACTTGAGGCCTGCAAGGCAATGAAGTCCTGGACAAGCCCAGGGTCAGCTTCCCATGTCCATTAGTGCCATCAAGGTGTCCCTCTGGCCAGCGGGTCCAGGGCCTGCAGACTCACACCACTGCGTTGCTCACATCCACCCCTTTATTGCTCTGTGAGGAGCTCATGGGATACTCAGCAACGCTGGTACCATTTTCATCTTTTCGCAGGGGTTTCCTGGAAGGAAGGGGAGACATAGGAGGGGCAGCAGGGACATCATCAGTTATCAGTGACTGTGGGGTATGTGACCTCCCAGCCAGTATCCACATCCGTAAGAGAGTCCCAGAATGAAACCCACTCGGCTTAGGGCTAGGTTAGTATCCCGGGGCTGCTTGGCTCTATGTGGTTCGTCAGAAGCTGGGCATGATCTTGACTCGGATGACCACATAATTTAGTATTCAAACCAGGGCACAGTTGAGAGAGGAGCTATTGATAATGGAGTGGGGACAACAGGCCTGAACTGGAACTGCTCTGGACAAACCAGAATGCGTGGTCATCCTCCTATGATCAAGCTTTGATGGATCTCTTTGATTTCAAGCACACAGAAATGAAGATGAATGTTTGGGAGTACAGATGGTTACCAGGAGAGAGCCACTGGTGCTTGAATTTCACACTCTTGTGTGGCCAAAGGCAAATGGCAAATGTGGTGAAGGAGGTGTGGTGACAGTGATGTCAGCAGGGATGATGATGGATGCAGTGATAACGGTTGTGGTAGTGATGGTGGTAATGATGGTGGTGATGCTGGTTACGGCAGAGGTGCTGGAGGTGGTGGTGATGGCTGTGGTGGTACCATGGTGGAGGAAGCTGAGGTCATGATTGCGATGGCAGTGGTGGTGATGGTGGGGGCTGGGTTGGGTTGGGTTGGATGGTTGAGTTCGTGGCGGTAGTGACAGTGAGAGTGGTGATGACAATGATGGTGATGGGTGTCTAAGTTAAATTAGTTAGTACACACCAGTGGTTCACTGGCCACCGTTCAGTGGTGGAAGGGCCTAGACCACCACTTATACTTCTGTGTCCTGTTCAGACAGCCTCCCAGTCGGTCGGCATTCCCTAAAAATGGGTTTTGTGGTCCTGCTGCTTCGGAGAGCCTCCCTCCCGCCTCTTCATAGGGTCCCCAACATCCTAGAGTCCCCCTGGAAGCCTGTCTCATTAAGCTTTACGCTAGGACCCCCACACTATGGCATCACAGACCCCATGACGGAGACACCACAGCTGTCTGCACACCATGAGGGGACAGGGTGGCACTGACTCTTCCCCTGAGAAGTCCACAGGGCCTTTCTCCTCCACCACTGGATCCAAGTTGCCTACTGTTCTGCTCCCTGGGCTGTGGCCTGAAACTGCTCCCAAGCCTTCTGGGCTTCAGTGGCGCCCAGTGAATTTTCAGGCTCCATCTGCCTCCAGGTGCCATCCCATCACCAACCACAGCACCTAAGGGTGACACTGAGGCAGATGTCACACAGCTCAGTGAAGTAGGCTCCACCACTTTCTGGCTCTGTAACCTTGAGCAAGCTACACAACCTCTCTCCATGCCTCAGTTTCCTTGTCTATAAAATGGCACAATCATGTCCACTTCAAGAGATGGTTTTGAGGATTAACCATGTTAGCAAGGACTTAGGTGAGTGTGTGTGTGGTACACAGTAAGTGCTCTGTAAGTGTGTGTTAGCGCTCAGCGTTGAGGAAGGTATCAGTGGGGGGTCACTCTGCTGCCGAAACTTCCTACCTATCATGCGCCCCGGGGCTCTTGAAGGTCTGGAGGAAGACACTAGGACCCAGCCCAGCTCCGGACTCTGTGGGCCAAGCCAGGACAGGCATCTCCACCCTGGTCCCGGTGGAGATGGCCACCGAGGGCCCCCTAAATGGCTTGATTCCTGAAACCGAGAGAAAGGGAGGTGAGCTTTCCCTTGACAGCTGCCTGCTGCAGGAAAGAGGGTTGTCCCTGCCTCAGACCTTTTGTTCCTATCTGCCCTGCCTGCGGCAAGCAGCAGGCGCTCGATGTTCTCTGGCTACACACACTCACAATCTCAAGAGGCCTCTGAACACACTGGGCCTCCGGCAGCGCTACTGGCCTGGGCAGAGAGGGCCAGGGCCTGGGTTGACCTCCTAGTCCCTGCTGACAATGATGGGACATTGTCCTCCCTCAGCTGTGCTGTGCTGGGAACCACAGTCAAACGCAGTTCAGAGCAGCCTGCATAGGGAGGGTTCCCACTCTCCTGTCTCATGTACCCTGAGGTTTGCTTTCAGTGTAGTGAAGAGTGCAGGTCCCACCTGATCTCCCCCAAAGGCATTCATTCTCCTCACTGTGTGTGCATGGGTGCACACACACACACACACACCACAGGCCCACCAGGAGATTCCTCTGCAGACTTTAGACTTCTCCATCCTGGGTGAAGAAGCTAGAAAAAGCCTTTCTGAGTCACCAATGGTGTCACTGTGAGAAGTGTTGTACTCCACTCAAAAAACAAGGCCCCATGATGAAAAATGGGGCAAGACCCCAAGATGACAAACGGGGCAAGACGTCTTTTTAAAAGAAGTGCTTTTATTGTAGTTGGCACAGCTTTGCAAATTCCATCTGCACTGTGTCGCTGTGCTTCTTTTAAAAAGACATCTTGCCCCGTTTTTCATCATGGGGCCTTGTTTTTTGAGTGGAGTTCAACAAGAAGCAGCCGCCCCAATTTCAGTCCCACCAGGACCACAGGGAAATAGGCATCCTGGAGTTCAGTGCAGCCTAGGGTCTTCAGCGGCTCCTGGGCTCACCTCTGCTGGCCCTGCAGCCTAAAATCCATCTATACTGCAACCCTACCCAGTCTGGATGCTGGAGATAGGACTGCATGTTCACATCAGAGCCCTGAACAGGAGACCTCCAAGCTGGCTCAGGCTTGGCGACTGTCCTCCCAGCCCTGAAGCTGCCAGAAGGCACTCAGGGTGTAGGCATGCTTTGTTGGAGGGATTACAGGAAGAGATGGCACCCATATCACTGGGCTCTGAGCATCTGTCTCTCTGAGGTTCCAGGGGCGACACCCCTTGAAATTCTCCTCTGACCAGAGGGAACCCCTCTGGGAAGAGGTGACCTGAAGCTGAGATCTGGCAGGAGTATCAGACAGCAGAACATGGGAGTGCCCTTGGCACCAGTCCCATGTCTAAAATGTCACTTCACCTGCAAAAAGCTCACAGTGATACCAGGACGCCCTAGAACTCCATCCTTCTAGAGGCAGGATTCTCAGGTGAGACCTGGGAGAAGCTGTCATGCTGGACTCAGGCTCCCTTTGTTAAGTGTTGGTGAGATGAGGGTAGATCCTCATTCTGAACCAACCTACCCCAACCTGGGCACTATGGCATCTTTAGCAGTCCTGCCACTGTCTGGTTGATCAGGTAGCTCCAGCTCCAGAGTCCTATGGGTTCAGCTCATTGAAGTAAACAAAAGAGACCCAAACAGACCAAGGATGTTAACCTCACCCTAACACCAGGTCAGGAGCCACGCAACATCAGGCCACGTGTGAGTAGACCGTAATAAATTATAAGAACCAAGAATTGGGGTCACAAGGAGATAGCTAAGGCACCTGCTCCGGGCTGGCAGGTGAGCCAGGTAAGCAAGAAGGAGCCTGCCATGTAGGGAGTGGGCCAGGAGCTGTGCCAGAGGCCCCTGGGTCTAAAGAAACCCAAGCCAGGAGGAGAGAGCAGTAGAAAAAGAACACGGGGAGTGAAGGGGGCAGAGGCCAGGCCCTGCCAGGTGCTCTCAGCTGATAGGGTTGGAGGTGGGGGGTGTCCACATCTGAGGAATTCCTGTCCACTGCTCACACTACTCATGATGTCGACGCAGCACTTCTGGAAAGATGGGTTGGGTGGTGGGGACTTATTAGCCCCAAGAAACAGAGACTAGTTTTGGGTTTCCCATCAGCCAGCACTGAGCCTGCCCTCAATCTGCTTAGCTTTTGGTCAATGATGTGGCACGGTGGCCAGGGCCCCTGGCCCCACTGCACCCACGTTCAGGTAGATGAATCAGGCTCATCTCTGCTGCCTGCTGCTCCCCACCAGGATGGGATTTCATCATCGGTCATGTGGAGAACTCTCCTGCAGGGAAGCCAATAAGCCCACATGAGCGTCTCAGCCCGAGGGATGTCAGGATACCTCAGGTCCTGCTCCCCCTCGCCTTACCTGAGCTCTGCTGGAAGGGAGGATTGTGGTGGTGACAGTGACAGATGCCACGGCATCTGGAACACTGAAATTCGTGTGCTGACCAGGGAAAAGTCAAACTCCAGGAACCTAGCAGATGGCAGTGAGGCCCAGGAGTCACAGGATAAAGTCTTGAAACCACAACAAAAAACAACAGCCAGTTTCTGAATGCCACAAGGTACCCAAGGACCTTGCTCAGATGGCCTGAGCAGCCGAAGAGGTGCCTCCTGGGAGCACAGCAACTTGGACTTGGCTCAGGTTTGGATAAAGGCCCAAGCAGGGGGGCGCGGAGGAGACAGCTGTGTTTGCTCTGACCCATGAGGGCGGGGTTGGGGGTGATCATCCTGCGGGGAGAAGAGGAGGTGGCAGACACCGGGACCCTTCCAAGGCGATCACACACAGGGACAGGGAGGCAGTGCCACTGCAAAGTGCAGAAGGCTGTAGCGACAGGGCATGGAGGGCAGAGCAGAGGCAAAGGGGCGAGAGCTGGGTATCAAAAACTGGGCACATGTTTTCCACTCCAAAGCCAGATTCTTCTTCCTTCACCCAGACAGAGAGGGCAAGAAAATGAGGGATTTCAGAATTCCAGAATTCTAAGTAGCATGTGTCAAATTAAAAGGTGGTGGACTCTGGCAGGTCCGTGTAAAGGAGCCTCCATGCATGCCCAGGGGGCCAGGGCTGTGCCCGGTGAATCTGGGACAGGAGAGCTCCTGACCTTAGGTGCATGCAAGTGCACATGACTGCTCGCACATGTGCACGGGCCCACGGGCCTGGGAACACCAGCGTCACACTAAGCACAGCCACAAGCAGAGCACAAACCTGTGCAGAACTGCAGCTTCCCTGTGCAGCTGACCTGTGCCCTGGGGGCCCCCAGTCCACATAAACCCCACGTCCTGCTTGATATCCCAGTGGCCCCTAGGAACAAGGTCTTCTCTGCGAGCCACAATGCTGTAAGAACAAACCCTCATCGGGGCCACCCCAAAGCACCCAAAAGGTGCTTTGCTGAGAGAAAGACAGGAAGGAAGAAAAGAAAAGACAGCTCATCTCACTGATGCATTTTCTATTGAGCTACCACTCAGGGAAGAATTTGAAGTGAATTTATGGAGGAATGAAGCTAAAGAGAGGCAGCCCTGCAGTAGGCTGGGAGAGGAAGCTAAGGGTGGCCAGATGGCAGCCTTCTTGGGAACATGCAGCATGGAAGGCTGCCGGAAGGGACACTGGTGGTTTAAAAGCTTGCCATTAGTTGCCCCAGAGAAGAGTATGACATCTCAAGACAAAAATGGAACCGATGTACTTGACCTTACGGAACAAAGGTGCTGTGAACACCACAAAAGGAAACAAACCACTGTACCCAAACGGCTCAGCTGAGAACAGTATTTACCTTGGCACAGGAAGGCAGATATTGAAGTCCCTGCAGCCTGCACGGGGTGGAGGATGGGACATGGGGAGGGGTGCTGATCCCGTGTATCCCAGAGGGATCATCAATAGATAACATTTAACTGTGGAAGAACATTCAAGTCATGGACACTCACACTAAGGCTGCTGGGAGAAATACTGGAGGAGACAGCTACTGACTGAAGGCTGTTGCCCCTCAAGAATGAGACTTGGGGGGGGCTGAGAGGAAAGTCAGGTCTCTTGTTTTTTTTTCCTGTGGTGCTGGGGATTTGAGCCCAGGGCCTTCCATATGACAGACCCTACCACTGAGCTACCTGCTCTGCGGCACGTTCCTTCTCGGCCTGTGGCACATTTGACATTTTAAAACTACGTGTACGTATGACTCTGCTAAAAATGAGAATTAAATTAAAAGGTGGGAGTGAGCATGCAGAGCCTCAGTGCACCCTCCAGCCATTCTGCTTCCCCCCCAGGGCATGCGTGATACGCTCAGCTTCAGGTGGGGGCAGCACGCCCCTGCCAGTCCTGTTCCGTTCTCCTAGCACAAACTGTCTCTCACATCACCCCGCTTACTAATTTGCTGGTATGTGTGCTGGATTCCACTAGCAGGAGAAGTGCCCTGTTCACCTCTGGCTCCCTGGCACCTAATCTAGTCCACCTCACTCAGGAGGTGCCCTGGGGACAAACTGGCTTCCTGAGCAGCCCCATGCCAGTCAGTGTATCTCCTGCAGTGCCATCTGAGAGACTGGAGTGTCCCAGAGTGCTCCTGCTACTAGAAGTGTCTCAACCACAAATTCGGATGAGTTTCGGAGCCTGGCCAGGGTTCCAGGACTCAGGCACATGCATGCTCCAGCCACATCTGAGAAGACACTGGCTCTTCCTGTGCAATCAGTCTGCAGGTCCAACCCGACTGCCCTGTAGGCATTGACTCAGCAAGAGCCTGTCAATGAGAAGGAAATGGCTGCCCAGTGGCTTAGTGGCAAGTGGACAGCAGTGGGGAAAGGACCTGTGTCATCGATGGCCAGTAGAGGGGAGAAGTTGTCCCTGCACCTGGGGTGGAGGTGGCTCCATGGAGTGGGTATGGTGGGATGGAGCTTGGCCGACTCAGGGTCCCCAGCTGGCGGGGGTCCTTCCCCGTACCAGGGCTGAGGTTGACCTGTCTCCCAGGCAGAGGGCACCTGGGAGCTTTCCCTTGGTGACTCAGCATCTCCCCTTTGTGTAAGTTTCTCTTCCTGGGCTGGACCAAGAGTGTCTGCCCTTCAGGAGCTCCTCTGATGGTTCTCAGGGTGGTGTGGGCTGATTCATGCCCACTTTCCCCTCCAGAGGGCAGTGCAGCATGGGCAGGGTCCATATCTGTGCTATTCACATGCTGCCCAAGGCCCAGATGGCACCCGGCCCCTGACCCCTGACCCTAGGCTCGGTGACCTTGTGGTCAACATCCACACATCTCAGGGGTGCAGTGACCTAGTGGTTGGGCCTCAGGAGGAGCCTGGGGACCTCATTTCCCGAGGTGTTCACACGGGAAGGCTACGTTCTGTGCTGAGAACAGAACTGACACCTGCTCATCCCGTGCTCTAGGCAAAGACACCTGTTCATGCAAGTCCAGGGCAATGAGGCCACCTGCACGGCTTCCCACAGCCAGGAACGCTTTGGGAGTCAGGATAGTTTACAGGACCTGGGACCACACAGTGACAGCCCTCCCCATCCCTTAGCCTGGCTACCGCACCCGCTTCTAAGAAGCTTTCGGGCCCAGTTGTGGGCAAAGTACTCCCCTCTTCCGGGCCGTGAACACCCCCCACCCCCAGCACTGCACTGCCCGCACAGAGCCGGGGCCTGGGAACAGTTACCGCAGCCCAGGATGGAGGGTTTCCACATCGAACCTGCATTTAAAAGCTGATTAGAGTCCACCTACCCCTTAGACCCAAGCCACTCCAGCCAGACCTGGTGGTTCTCCTGGACGGGAAAGTGGGGGTGTTTGGGGGTGCTTCTCCTAGCTGACGCTCCCAGGTGAATCTCCGCCAGAGCTGTCGCCCTATGCTGGTCAGTCCTGCAGTGTCCTCCCAGAAGCCTGGCTCTCTGAGGCTGCATCGAAGCCACTCACAAAGACTCTGCTTGGAAACCCTCCCCGGGGACCCAGGGACAAGTGAATTAAAAAGAAGTGGGATCTTTTAATGGTTTCACAGTGACATGGGATGCTTTTGTTTCCCTGAAAAGAAAGCATGTTTCAGATAAATTATTGACCAGCAAGGAATCACCCTGAGCAAGAAATCCTCTGTATACTCTGGGGAGAAGTACAAGGAGCTACTGGCTGACACAGTGCTCCTACCTCTGACAGACAGACAGACAGATAGATGGCTGCACCGGGAGAGGCTCTTCTTCCCAGCAGGCCCTGCATGGTCCTCGGGAACAAAGCCCCCCAGGCTTTAGCAGCGACAGACTCCATTTGTGTCCCTAGCAGTGCCACACAGCTCTCTCCTGTCCCCGTACATCCACTGGATGTACCAGGGCCACCCTCTCTGGAAAAGGACATCTTGAAGGCAGAGCCCTGAGAGGAGCCCCTCTCCTCTGGCTCGCTGGGTTCGTATGGTACCATTTCCTACCCTTGTCTGTGAACTACAGCCCTTCCTGCCGCTGGACCTGTAGTAGGTCCAGGCCCCTTGGCACCTGGTCTCTGCACTAACTCGGGAGGCCCCGCCCACTCCAGGAGCCCCGCCCACTGCCGCTGCCGGTGGGCGGTGCTGTACTAACGTGAGTCCCTTCTGACCTGTTGGGCTCCCTCCCTCCTCCTCCATTTGAAGCAGGAGAGGTCTGGGGCTAGAAGGGAGGCCGAAGAGACTCAGTGTGTCTTTTGTAGCCATTGCACAGACTGCGCTGAGCATTTCCCAGGGTAAGGGAGGAGCTGGCAGCCCATGCCCTGGGGGTGCACTCTCCCTCAACCGCCTTCAGTAGCTCCTGGTACCCAGGTGCAGGCAAACCCTGCGATGGCCACGGGCCTCCCAGTTGGGCTGAGCCTCCCATGAATAGAGAGGAATCACGGGACTCCACGGTTATTCTTGTCATCTGTCTTCATTTTGGGAGAGTCCCTGCAGCCTGAGTGCTTGGGGTAAGAGGGGCTCTGGGCTTGGGTTGGCGGCAGATGCCCAGGGCATGGCCTGTCCTGTGTTGAGCTCCCACCCCTGGGCCTGTCCCTGGCTCCTGCCTCTACTTCCCAGTTCCCAGAACAAGCCAGACCGGTGACTCTTCCTGGCCCTTCATCCTGTGTGCCTGAGTCTCCTTTTAATATCTGTAACTTGACACTGCTCTTAGTGCTTTTGAATTACTGATCAAAATCACATCGCATAGATGATTAAAAGAAAAAAAACTATTTTAGATGTTATAATTGTTCTTTATGTGAACCCTCTAATTTCAGATTTGGGAGAATAAAAAAAAACTTTCCTAGGACTATTACAATAACAATTCCTTTTACTCTTTGATGTTTTCTAAAGTTTTGGTATTACACTGGGCCTCACAGAGAACTGATGCTCATCAGATGTTTATAAAAACAAATTTCTTAATAATGACTGGAGGATTATTTCTGAGATCAACTTTAAAATAGTCTAGCAGTGAGAAAAATAAAAAAGGAGGAAATAGATGCGCAAATATAGTAAAATGTTGGTAAATTTTTAACGTCACAATAGGAGTTCAATTCTGCTTTTCCTGTTTTTTGTTTGTTTGTTTTGTTTTTCTTTGCAGAAACTAAAGCCTTTGCGCTGAGTGACACGCTCAGCTTTGTTTCTTCTTTTTATTTTCCAGACAGCCTCTCACCGAGGCTGGGCTTCCTTCTGCTTCTTATATGCACGTAACAGTCTTTCTAATTTAACAAATGATCAAAGTGGTAGAGGAGCCTCCAGGCAGGGCGGTGGGCACTCACCTTTTTATGGCTTTGTAGCAAATGATGACAAGGACAGTCAGAAACACCAGAGAGGCACAACATACGGCAATGATGATCACCAGCCCCGACCACCAGCTTTCCTCGGCAGGGCACGAGGTAGAGCTGGGAGCTGGAAGAGACAGGAGCATCATGAGTCTCCCTGAATGAGCCAGCTGCAGCCGGGGCTGACTCCCCAGTGAGGGCCCCTGACCTCTCCTGCCGACCCTGCCCCCAGCGGAAGCTGATGACATCACAGATGGCCCCCAGCCAGGCTGACCCCACCCCCACCCAGACCTGGCCTGTGCAGAGCAGGGGTTAAGCGACGCACCCCGGCCATCCATCCTCCCTTGGCATGAGCTAACTGTCAGCAGGGTCAGGTTTAATTTCCCATGAAAAATAACAGAACCTCTCATTCTCTCAGTTGAGGCATTAAATCCGGTTCCTCTGCAGGTGGGGGTGGGGAGCCGGGCTCAGGGGGAACTCTGGGGTTGGAAGAGAGCAGAGGAGGCCTGCCTGGTGGTTTCTGAAGCTGGTTTCTTTTAAGAGGCAAGTTCTCTTGGATTCTGCCCGGGGTACTGGCAGCTAGCTCGGCCTGCAGGGGCTGGCTAGAATGGGGGGAAGTCTGTCTTTGACAAAGCAGCCGACACTAGTGCTTCAAGGCCCCCCATCCATGCGTGATCCATGGAGTGCTGGGGTGAACCCAGACCCCCCCAGCATGGGCGTGTTGGGGTTTACCCAAAGCACAGGCATCAGAGGCCAGTTCTCATCCCTGGGAGACAAGCAAACACCCCACAGCCTCATTCCAGAGTTACGAAGATGACCCAGATCCCACTGGGAAGAAGTGCAGAGAATTGCAAAAGAAATGAGAAAGGGGAGGGAAGGAAGAATGGGAGGGAGGAGAGGGAGAGAAGGGAGGGGACATGGCAAGGAAAAGAAGGGATGGACAGACAGACAGTACCATGAACTTTGGCCCGCTCTTCAAGACAGTGATATATGCAAAGGAATTAAAATTACACCAAAGAGGGCTGGAGATTTAGCTCAGCGGCATAAGTGCCTGCCTTGTAAACAGGCAGTCATGAGTTTGATCCCCGGTACCCATAAAAAGGAAAAAAAAATTACACCAAAGACTCCTCCACTTGGGCGGCAGGGGTGGGGAACAGGTTTATCCAGGTGTGGGTTCCGCCTCACTACACCATGGGACAGTTCTGACAAAGGTGACACCAGCGAGAGCCACCCCTTTCCAGCACCTCAGACAGACACCTCTGGCCTCTGATACCTGTGCTCTGGGTGAGCCCCAACATGTCTGGGTGTCAGGGTCCCCACCCTGTGGGCGACCACCGAGGAGTTTTGCAATCTCTCATTAGAGGTGCTTGTTTCTGACGCTGACACGAGTGGAATCATGCCAGATGCTTTTTCAATTTTCTGGCTCACTTTATTTAGCACAGTGTTTTTGAGAATCATCCGCGTGGTTGCACCTCTCCAAAGTTCCTTGCTGGTTGTCACTGAATGGACTCCATGACAAGTGTGCTGCAGGGTGTTTATCCACCCACCTGTTGGACACTCAGGCTTGTTCCGGGTTTCTGACCACTCTGAAAGTAAACATCGGCTAGGACATGTTTTCGTGTTTCTCTCTGGGTGAGTGCTAGGAGCAGGGTGAGTGCTAGACACACACACGTGCTGTGTGTCTGACTGACACTGTGGGAATAAGCCAGAGCTTCCCCAAGTGCTCACACTTCGGTGCCCTCCCAGGCAGAACAAAGACAGGCAGAAAGGAGCCAGGGAGAAGGGAGTGGTTCCAATTTGTAGCTGAATTAAAGGCAGCTGGATTAAGCGATCCAGAAACCATTACGCGCTTCCCAGGGGAAGGTTGCTAAAACCTCATTAACAAATGCCAGGTCCCCAGGGTTGGACCACGGATCTTCACAGAGCCTAAGCAGAATTGGCAACACTACCTGGCGTCCTGTGAATGGGCTGGAACAGGGACACCAGGGGGCTGTTGTGCAACCCCAACACCTTTCCAAACCCCAACACCTAAAAGATGCTGAGAATTGAAAATAGGATTAAACTACAGAACAGGGAAAGAGGGCAGAAAGGATTCCTACTCCCCCCACCGTGGACTTGTTCAATGCTTTTTTGGTAAAACATCAAGCTGGATCCTCCCTTAATTCCCCCTTTTGGGGGGTGACCCTGACTTGCTTGAATCTTCTGTGACTCAGCAGAGATCCAGGCTTCACATCCCCTACAGCAGCAGCCACGATGGGGATTCAGAAGTGCAAGTGGATCACAGGAAGATGTTTGTCTACACACCCGAGAGCTCTGGGCCTTATTGTCACTGCCAAGATTTTAACTTCTGTGACCTCCCTCGCTCCCTCGGGCTGTAACACCTCTGGGCAAGTCCCCAGGGCTGCACCTTCCCCCTGATGGCCCAGGTGGGGAATCAGTCTACCCATTTGTGGTCATGGCCAGGGGCCCCACCTTGGAGCAGTAGCTATTGGATGTAGTGGGTTGGGGGCCGTCTTTATCAGCACTAGTTATTTCCGTATGAATTGGTCTTTGAAAGAAGTGCCAATAGCATCGCTGTGCAGAAATTCCACCAACCTGGGAACTGGCACTGAATTCAGCCTCCCATTCTCTGTTAACGGGGCGGGGCTTTTCTCGCCATGATTACTTTTCCAAACGTTGATCAGGAAACCAGGGAGCCCTGATGGAGAGCATCCTCTGCCTAGGGTCCCCCTCTGCTGCTCAGCAGTGCAGCGATCTCTGTGTGCATGGAAGGAAACAACCCCAGGCAGAGCTGCTAATGGACAGGAAAAGGGGGAGGCCTCTGCGAAACCCAGCCGAGGAGGCATAAGTCTTGGATTTTCCTCAGGAAGCCAGCTGTTGTGTTCAAAGGCTGCATCTTTATTTATCCTTGCTTGAGTCAATTAGAGAATGTGAGAGCTGGAGGAAGCCTGGGAGGTGTCATTTCAGAAAAGAATAAATACCAAGACTCTGGATGAAGAAGCAACTTTCCCAAGGGATAGAGTGAAATCTCTGGGCTGCCTGCCAGGCCTGCCCCTGCCTCAATTTCCCTCAGTGTGAGGTGTTGCCAGTATCCGTCCTCAGAGGGGATAAGACAGCTTATTGTGTGCATATTCTGCTGGTTCATATTTGAGAAGACAAATACTCATTCACCCACCAGAAAGACACTGAGCATGCTCCCCGGCACTGTGCTAGGATTTGGGAGCACAAAGATAAGTCAGACATAAACCATGGCTTTACCAGGCCTGTTCTAGCTACCTTTTGGGTCATTGCAAAGTGGACTAGCTGATGATCTCGCTCAAGCAGCCAGGAGCAAAGCAGGATGCTCTGGAGACATCCTGGAGTCTCCCAAAGCAAAGACATGCACGAATTGCTAATACGCAAGGTGAGGTCATTTGTGGCTGAGAGAGGATGCCCTGGGGAATTGGAAGGTTTAGGAGTGGGGGGCGGCGGGGGCTGGTGAGGGGTAGGTGGCCAGACGGTGGAGGATGAGACAGTCAGAGGGTGGCAAGTGCCAGCCGGTCTGAGCTCTCTGTCACCCGCTTGAACATGACAGGAAGACAGGCGTGTCTTGACCATGCAAGGGTCACAACATCCTCTCTTGAGACTCTCGGAGCTTTGTCTGCCACCCTCAGTAAACACTCCTGACACCCGTATAGACCACAAGACTGGCAGGCAGGGAGGGCAGCTTAGGAGGACCCAGGCTCCATTTCCCCTAACCAGAGAAGCTGTCTGCTCGTTAGGAAATGCACTGGTGAAGGCTTCGGGACTTTTGTTTCCAGCCAAGGTGAACTGAAAACCAGACAATGCATGAGACACTGCATGAACAGTAAATGTCAGGCAACAAAGACAGTGACCCCGAGAGACAAGAAACAAGTGAGGCGTGTCCAGCCAGCGGCCGGCTTGCTGCCCTGCAGGAATGCTCTAAAAACCTTAAAGAGTCCAGGAGTGAACGGGACACATGTGTCCCCCCCTTCTAGGGACCTCTGAGAGGAGGAAGAAGCCCCAGAATACCATATCTAAGCACCAACGGCATGTGATTAGACACTGGCAAGGGTCAGAGAAGAAACAGAGGACAGATCCAGATGCCCTCAGGTGCCCAGACAAGAGCCAGAGCGTCTGTGTAGGAAGAGTAACTGGGTACTCACGGGGCTGAGACCAGAGAGGCCTAGGACGGCTGGGCTGGGGCCTTGAGGATCCCCCCTCCCAGGTCAAGGGCACAGGACTGTCCAGAGAGCCCTGGTGATGAGCGCTTTCCCTATATTCCTCCAGGGTTTGGCAGCTATCAAATGAGACCAAGAGGTTCTGTCCACGGTAGCAGCCACTGCTTCCCCAGCGATGGCTTCAAGGCCCCCAACTAGGCACCGCGGAGCATGGCCCAATTACCGGTCCCTCTGCGGTGGGGAAACTGAGGGTACTGGCTATATGGAGTCCGCTGTTGTAGAGCAGCTGTGCCCAGATGTTTGACTGACAGGAGGGCACTGAGCGAGGGATGAAAGAGTGGAAGACCAGCAGGGGCCCTGGACACAGCTCCCTTTTGCAACATTTAAAGCGAAACGCCATGGTTAAAGCCTCTGACTCAAGGCAGAAAAGTGATTTTACAACAGACATCAGGGTTGTTTCTCCTTCTTTCTAGAGTCAGGCTGCACAGACTCGGGCTTCACAGAAGGGAACCAAGCGTCTCGGAGTTAAGAGCACACTTACTCTCTCTCTCTGCCGCCATGCCAGGCAGCCCACCCAAGCCCCTTCCCCTGGTTTCATGCAGCTCTCAAGGACAGCGGGGGGACTGGGAGTTCTCACTGGGCTACCAGGTCTGTTTCACAGACCCTTTGCACAAAGGAGGAAACTGAGGCTTGGAGCCAGGTGTTGGGAGCCTTCCTGGGGCTGCACAGGCTGCCCTTGGCCCTGCATCACAACCTGTCCCAAAGGATGCGCTTCTCAGGAGTCCCTCAGGGACCCCAGCCCTCTCCCTGCCTCCATGTCCAAGCCCTGGGCCTGCTGGGCTGTGCGACACAGACCCTATGTCCACAAGCGAAGGGGCATGGGGTGGGGCACCCCGTTCCTCTGGAGTGCCTCCCCACACAGAGCCCCATTGTCCCAGGACACAAG